ATGTCCAATAAACATTTTTGACCGCCAAATGACAGTTTTTCAACTTATTTTTATTGAGAAAAAAAGAGAAATTTTACCAGTTGTTTATTTCGTCAATACAAGTAAAATGTTTTTTGAATTATTAATATCGGACGCTTCATTCTCTTAAAAACTTAGTTACCATTTTTGGCACTGTTTGCCCTGTATCTTTGGAACGGCTAGACCTGCTTTCGCGAAAAACTAATTAGCACGTCTCCTTATCAATTCGATTCGAATGTTTTTTGAATTATTCAAATCGGTTGATCGGTGTTCCCGAAATCGTTGACGAAAATTTGTATCCGCACGCACACACGCACACACGCACACCTACATACGTACACACAATGTTCAGAGGTTTTGAAATGTAAAGATATATAAAAAATTTCATTTTCGATTTTTTGCGATTACTATAACTTGCCCTAGGGGAAGCTAATTAGATTTAATTACAGTTTCACATTTTCATATCACAGTTTCTTTTTTATAAATAATTTTTATAGTTTTGCACCAAGCCGACCACAATAATTTAAACTGTTGCTATAAATTGGGCATTGACGAATGGTCAAATCATCAAGATTACTCAAATTTTCTCATCACTAGTGATCAATTATGAAGTAGGTTTGACCGAAGATGATCTGAAGGCAATGTATTCTAAATAAAAATATCACTAGCATCGACGTTAGTTATATGCTTCGCAAATTTGTCACCTCGAAACACACAGAGTTTGCCACCGGTAGTTTTCCAATATCTTGATTTTCTGCAAAACTTGCTAGTTGACCTGATTGCAATGACTCCAGAGCTATTTTATCAGCAAGCGATTACACATGCATTTGCTTATCCAGTTTGTGAAGGTGCTAATCTGCCTCTGTTGGAGATAGTTTATTAAAATCATCATCACGTTGTCCAATTTTAACCAAGATTTGTATGATTCTGCTGACCAACAATAGAATATGCTGTTGCAATGATTAGACAAATCATTCCCATGAATGGAGCAATTCAATTCATGTCTGTATTTGGAAGTCCAAAGGTTTAAGGTTTAAGAACTACTAAACTTGTTGCGTAAAAGTCGGGGATATCGGACGTATAATAGTGTCCGTGTGGTAAACCGTTATAGACGACATCATAATAATTGATCAGCTGCTGCTGATTTATTTAGGAACTACTAAAATTGTTGCGCGTCTCGGGTCTGTGGCAATTATGATATTTTTTGATAATCTGGTCTATCTTTATGAACGTTGTCGTCTGTTTGGAGTTTTACTGTTTCAACTAATCTCGCTGATGGTGATCGAGATGAAAATCTATAATTTTGCAGTAGAAATGATAATTAGAATTTGAAACTTTGTTTTTAGAAAATCATTCTATTTATATATAATTTATTAAAATATTTTAATAATTATTTGTATAATGCACTTGATTTTCAAAAAATGTAAATTTATTTAAAATATACGATGCAATAAACGCGATTTGAAATCGTTCGAAAACTGTTATATTTCCTGTTTTAGTTATTTGATGTTAGAAGGATGCAATCTTGTGATATACTACTTATTTTGAATGTGACTTTAAGCTTTATGATTGTGGCACCTTCGGCCTTTACGACTAAGCTTCTCAAAATACCTAAATGTTCAGCAATATAAAATCAAGTTATCACTTGATTGTTTCATTCTGACTTTGTAAACTTTTGGAATACTTTTTAGATATTGCCTAGAATTTAGCATTAAGATATTTAGCATTTTGTGCTATAATAATATAATACCGTTTTCATCATCACATACATCTTTTTTATTTCAATTTTTGTCCCATATAATGGATCATCTTGAAGAAGTGATGACACAAACAACTAGGAGAACATGGTGAACTTATCAATCGAATGTAGAACCTAAATACAATAAAATAGCGATTGTTTTGTTAAAACTAGTCGCTGCAATAGTCTTAAATAGTTGAGTGTAATCAATTTAACACCTAACTGATCAACTAATACATTTACCAACTTCAATAGCATTTTTGATTCTGGAGTTTACAAACCAGTTTTAACTCTGCTCAATTGCTGTTAACAAATGTTTTCCTGTATATCTTTTCTTCTGACTTGAACAGAATTTAAAACTGTAACTTGAACTTAACATAATTAAAAAAAAACTCATTTTTGAATATTTTCAATTTATTTTCAGCATCTTAAGGATAAAAATTGTAAAAATATTGTCAATAATAAATTACTTGAATTCGGTGCCATGTACATAGTACACCTTTGATAATGCATGGTTCGTGTATCATACATCGGCCGTTCGTAAAATTTTGATTAAATGGTCGATGTTGTTATTTTTGATTGCTGTTCTGCATTGCTTTATCATGTTGGTTGCGTACTTTCCAACTGAAATAAAAGAACAAGTCATTCATACTAGAAAGACTAAATAGACTATATAGTTGATGATAACAAATTTTCATAAACGACCACTCTGCCAATGAAATATATTTTATTTTTCAGGTATAGAATGTAAATAGAAAGAAAAATTAAATTTGTTTATTAAAATATTATTATTAGATACATACGTTTTGAGTCCCAGTTTGACTCTTTCTCAGTAAATAAAACACAAATTATCAAGACACAAACACCAATAAAAATATAATCGATGAAATAATACTTCACAATGGGAAGTTTCAGCAATTTGCTTTGAGGCACGATGTCATGCACCACTGGCTTATTTTATTACATTGAAATATATGGTAAAACCGTAATTAAATAGTACCTCTTAACCTGGCGGCCTGTTTTATGATGGCATTTGTACTTTTGAGAGCTTCCTGTGTCTCTTCGTAATTCGCCATTCTTATCTGATAGCCACGCATCAAGTCCGAATTCATGGTCTCTATTTCATCGTAATATTTCTGTATATCGTCTCTAAAAAACAATTACTTGACAAAGATTATGTATTATATATAAAATTATTTTCCATGTAAGCCAATAGTTTAACAGTTCAAGCTAAATTTTTCTGAAACTTACTCGAAATTGATTCTGGCATCTTCGGCTTTTACGGCTAAGCTTCTCAAAATGCCTAAGTGTTCTGCACGTTCCGCCTGTAAAATATTTGTGGTTTCTTGGAGACCATTCAATTTCTCTATTAAATTTCTTAATTTTGTTTCTTCGGCATTGAAACGAGCTTCTGACTGCAAGAATAAATCATAAAAATTGTGATAATACAAATAAAAACTAATTAAAGAAATCTTCAGTAAGATGTTATTATTAGTTCTTTAACGATTAATATAATCACAATTGTAGCACGCAGGAGTGTCACAGTTGTACCGACCAGTATGTCGCCCAATTATATGTTACACAAAATATTTTCATTCATCATTATCAGTAAAAATGATAGTCTTTCAGGCGGCAATATTAATTATTGTCACAATATTCAAGCCTAATTCAACTCACTTTATGTCGTTTATAGGGGTTAAAATCATAGACCTTATACTACACTGACTGCTACTCCTCATATGTTTTCCATTTTATAAAGTGTCAAAAAATAGAAGGGGACGTCACTTAGTGAACGAGCGTTGCCGACAATCTTGGACCATCCCCGATTGATTAAATGTCAATTTGTGATGATCTATAGTTAAAATGCATGCAATAATTGTATTTTCAAATAGTCTTTAGTATCTTATGCCCATATCTATCATTTTGTTTAAAGCTTTTTTATTGCAAAGTATAAATGCCGACTATGTTTCACCAAGAAAATCTGTCGCAAAAGAAAATGTTTTTTGGTAAAGAGACCTTATCATTTATATTATCCAATTCGTAATCAAACATATTGTCTGAATATATAAATATACAGACTGTATATAAACAAATTAACTTGATTCAAAATAATAAAATTTCTCAATTAAAAGACAATTCTGAGCTTCTTTAATTAATCGACGGTGTAATTAATAAGATAACCACTAATATCTTGGCCAAACAAAACTGTTTTATATAAATTCAACTGTCTTGAGTAAATTGCACATTCCCTATTAGATTAACAATTACTTTGAAGCAATTTATTCTAAGAAATACTGCATTATAAATTCAATCTTACTTGTAGATTTTCTAATTTTAAGAAGCTTGCTAATGACTGAATTAAATCAGCTGCCAGGGCCATATTTGGTGTGGTCAGAATTACTTCTCCATCACCTGTGAACTCCATCAATAGCTGTGTATTATCTCTAAGGCATGCTGTAATATTATCCTTTTATAATAGTATTTATTTAAGTTAATTATTGATAAGGTGCGTTTTTTCTACTTACTTAAAAGAAGTTTCAGTTCTTGATCTTCAGTTGGCTGTGCAATTATGTCACTGCTCAATAAGAAATTTTGGTTTATCCAGATGCAAATTCGCTGCAACCTTTCTGCGATATGAAAACGCACCTTACCGGGTATTTGATCTTTCAAAAGTTTTGCCCCTATTTCAAGAATCATGTAATTTATATATATATATATATATATGTATATATATATATATATATATATTTATTTATTTATATATATATGCAATAATTTGATGGTGATAAAATATGTTGCTGAAAAAAATACAAGCATCCAATCAAATAATGGAACAAGAAAGAAAACTAAACTATGTTTCTGAAAATTATGTTCAATCAATTTTTATATGTTTCTAGTGCCAATTCAACCAAAATCAATTTGTTTAAACTATTTCATAAATATTACCTTCAACAGATAGTTGCCCAATTTGTGAGACGGTCTTAGGCGATGATGTAATTTCTTGAGGGATGGCGTACATACAAAATCTTGGCAATTGCCTTGTTAGTTCAAATACGTGATATTGAGAACATTCTGGGTTGCCAACAAAAGCCTGACAAACATGACATCAAGTATATATTTTAGCCATTCATAGATATTCAATGCATTACTATCAATCAGGTTTTAACAAAAGTGATTCTTACAAGTTAGATTGCACAAAATATACATACACACATTTGCTTATATTAAAAAAAAACAATAATTAGGCTTTGGTTACTTCAAATAGTTTTAGGGATTCAGTCACTCTGGCTTAGATCTAAGAACATTTAATAATGTCTTTACCAGATTCAGATGTGCGAGGACACTGCATGGTTTCATTATGAATGTATGTATAACTTAAATGCATTTTCTGAAATCTATAATAGACTAGACATAAACAATGGAACTTGGCATGCGCCATTACCTTTATATGTATGTCGACAGGAACGTCCCTTGGAGGAATTAAGGGAACGCACAATTTACTTGCCACTTTAGATGGTGGTGGATATAATATGAGCGACTCTCCACCTCCTAAGAATATTCCTTCAGCAAACACAAGTACACATCGCACTATGGTTTCGTTATTTGTACATATCGACAATTCAACGTGTGGCTGCAATGGCAAAATAATTTAACCTATCGTCAACGTTTTCATCAGAAAAATTTAAACATTTAATTTCAAACGCCCTGTCAATGCTTGCCAAAAACTGATATCTTTCGATCGGTTTTGAAATGTTAAAAATTGATTCAGAATATGTTGCTAAACCGTAAACAAACATTTCTGCTAATTCCATGGCTTACTGCTGGTTGTCGCGCAAAACTAATCTGTAAAGTAGGGGGAAGTCCCGTAACGCCGGACGGCACTTAAAGCCGGACACTCTATTTAACTCGTATTATTTAAGCGAGTATACATCTTTTTATTTCAAAATACAAGTGAAAGGGGCGCGGAGGGCACACAGGTGCAGGATCACGCGCCAAGACTCACCTGTGACGCACACGGCCACGGCGGGAGCAACCATCTGTTGTTTTAGACGCAAAAACACGGCGTCACCTAAATATCAATGGAAGTAATTCTTGTGTATTTATGCATTTATATTTCAGTGGCATTCAAAAATAAAAGTAGTACTTGATTGTTATCCGTAAAATGGTAGAATATTATTAGATATTTCAAACAATTTTAGTAGGTACCACCAAATGAACGAAATTGTCTGTCCCTTAGCACCAGACACTAAGTCGTCCCTTAGCGCCGGAAGTAAAGATAATTATATTTCTTGTTAGAATTGATTTCTAACTTTGTTATCTAACATAAAATCATAATTCAATAAACATTTCGCAGAATATTTGTTGATTTATTTATAAATAACCTTAGGTGTCCGGCACTCGGGGACTTCCCCTTAACTGTTCATCGCTCCTTTAAATGATGTATCCTAACCGCTTTCAAAATTTAGCAAACAAAGTATTTTGTATGTAATATAATAAGTAAAATAAAAACACAATCAAAACTAATTTCTTTTCTGACCTTTTTGGAGTCTAAGTTTGTAGCAACACCTATCTGTAGACGAGTGTTGGCCGGTATCAAGCTGTTTTCACCTGTTCTCAATTTGGCATGGTCCCTGGTTTTTTCTCGGTCCTGGTTTGCGCGTTCGTTGGCGTGATAGTGCTTCAATTCCAGTTGAAGTGTTTGCTTCTTCGACATTAGTTCTTTTATGACTTCTTGTTTTCGAATCAAAGCGCTCTCACTTACTGCGGTTTGAGTTACATATCCGCAAACTGCATTAATAGAGATAATAATTGGTGAACACAAGTTTATTTATTTCAAATAAGCATTTTCAAAACCAAATATTGTTTTTTAAATGAAATTTTTAATAGTATCTATAATTGTGTATGGTAGATTTCAGACATTTTCTGTTCATAAACTTTAGAAACTATAAATTATGTCAAAAAAACAAAGGTAATTTATATAAAGGCAATGTTAAATTGCAAGCAATCAAGAGATTTATTTAAGAAAAAAGAAGTATCTCAATGAAGATCCACGCTATATTTGATCCTCCTAAAGGGTTCATCGTAGCCCATAAGGCTTATAGAATGTAACTGTTTTGTTTCCATTCATGTATATTAAAAAAAGTTTAAAGCATAATTTTTATACATATGTAATGATGCTTAGTACATTTTTAAGACAATTCACAATCAAAAAATTGAATTGTTTTTCAAACCTTTTCAGGAATTAAAGTGGTCGAACTTTCTAAATAGGTTGGTGTATTTTCGTTGATACAGCCTCTGCATTTTAGTTTTAATTTTATTTATATTCAGCTTAAAATCTCAATTGCGCGATGGATGAGATTTGTGATTTTTTTAAACCACTTGGTTCTGAATTGACTATATTTATTATGATTTTATTATTTCTATCAAATTTACGACTAATTATCTACTTTGTGATTTTTTTAAACAAATTGTTCGGAATTGACTTAATTTATTATGACTTTATTATATACTATCAATTTTACGACTAATTAATCTACTATTATGAGAATTCAATTTGCATGATGTGGTACATAACCAAATTTTTTGGGAAAAAGTTTCTCTGAATCGACTATGAATTAATAATGCATTTATTATAACCTGAATAAATTGCCATAATTTGTTAAGGCCCTGTTCCGAATTTTTAAACCGTTAACACTTGCTCTGAATCATTATAATTTAAAAAGTACATTATTATGACTTTAATAAATCGCACCGAATTTTTAGGTCACCATCTAATTGAATTAAGTAATAGTTTTTGTTATTTCATTCAATAAAATAAAAAAAGAGTATTGTAAAGTTTTAAAAAAATGAAGTTGCTTAGATATACTTGAATCAAAAATGTATTTATTTAAGATTCATAATAAATTTTTGTTTGATTTGCAATCATCAAAATTCTTGAAGTCGCTCAACGTAGGAGTATTGTGATTTTTTTTAAAAAAACGGAATCGTGCTGATTATAGTTTTTACCAAAGATTACTCAAATTGTTCCTTCGTAATTGATTGTAAATAAAAAATTTATTTAATGAAACTTTATATGGCGATAGAAATATTAGTCAAGAGGCCAAAGACAAGTAATTTAATTATAAAAATTAATAAAGTTAAAAAATTGTGCTTTTAGAAAGTACCCGCGTATGTCTTAGATGCGTGTTCGTTTCTTCTATAATATGTATAATAATAATTTTAAAAATAATCTTAAAATTATTTTAATAATATTCAATATTTTAAACTTTTACATCGTTTGTTCACTCTCAACCACTACGGCAAGTTACTATACGAATCGTATACTGTAAGCATTCATACAGCATACAGTAAATATAAACCAAACTTTTATACAACATTAGATTAATAAATTATAATAAAAATATATCGAAAGTTGGCAAAACAATGATTAAATCTTATTTACACATTGCGTGTTCTGTTCTATCGACGGAAAATAACTCCGAGTACTACCCATCTCCAACCTTAATCCGTCCAAAAAGGTTAATAATTCTCTGCGGAACCTTAGTATAGTTATAGTTATCGATTACTCATGAACTAATAAATTGGTTTCTTAGTGATTAAGAATGCGATTCTCACCCAGCTATTATTTTTTATAAGTCGCTCAGAAATATTTTAGGTATAAAAACTAACTTTCTCCCTCGATGCTGCATGCTATTAAGTCATCCTTGCCGACGTTTCTGTAATCGCCGCGCAGTACCGCTGCCACCGATTGAGACAAATTCACTTTAAACAAAACGTCGCCAGTAAAAGTGTCTCTGACATCCACCTAAAGATAAAATCAGTTTAGATATAATAATTTATTATAACTTTGATATTAATTTATCTGAATATCACCAAAGTTTCACTTTGAACTACAATGTGGCTTTAAATAAATGGTAACTTTGGAATTTGACATGTGATGCACAAATCTATACTCCTACATACAAAAATTATGTAGTTTATATTATTATCGATAATAAAACACACAAATTATTTTAATAATAAACATTCATTCATGGTTACCTTGCCGTTACTCCAGCCAGTTATCAATTGGTCGTGTCCCAAACCCATCATGTCAAAACCATGTATGGAATTCACTGCATTTTTGCTCTGGGAAATATAATTAGAAATTTAACAGTTTTCCTTTGAGAGATATTGATAAATAGATATTAAAAAAAATATTTAAATGTAAAAAAATTATGTATCAAAAATTAAGTCATTACAAAAGTATAAACCTGTAATAAAATTTGTCGGTTTACAAATTCAAAAATATCACGACTCGTATCTTATTTTGTTTTACCGTAAAGACCTTAGAAAATCCTTAAAAGATTCCAACTAGATTTTTAGTTCTTTACACTTGAATTTTTATGATGTCATTAGATCCTTATTGCCTTCTTGTCAGAATCTTATTAGAATAATACGGTGTATAATGCGATTTTGATTAAATTTTATTATTCTGGTCTATTATTATTCATTAAACTTGTCTTAGATTCTAACTTGATTATAAACTCCTTTATACTATATTACAACTGAAATATTATTTCTTCCTAAAACCTTACTCAAATATGGCTAAAATCTTACTAATATCTTTCTAAAATCTTGATCAATATATTGCTGAAATCTTGTTTAAATATTACTAAATTAAGAATAAGTGCTAGTGCTAGTAATTATATAAACTCAGTAGTATTTAAAGTATTGGGCTGCGCTTTTAGGACATATTTGTGCATTATAATTAATATAATTCAATATATATAAATGTGTTTGAGAGATATTAATTAGAAATTGTTTTGATTAGGTTTTAGTGAAAGCGATAACTTTATATTTGAAATATTCAGTTGAAAATTTAATCTAAATAGCTAAATTTCAATTTCAGTTAAGTAAGTCAATTAATACACATATCGGGAAGTTCATGAAACTTGCTTTAGGGCAAAATGCCACTCACACCTAGTTATTTTTGGTTTTCTGGATAATTATAAAAAATGTTAATAAAATTTTGTTAGTCCCATCCTCTCCTCTCCGCTTCTCACAATCTAAATACGCATTTTAATTTTAAATGCAATAATCTTAACTCGTATGTACTAAGTGTGCAGAAATGTCACAATTGTTAGCAAAAGGCATAATTTAAAACAATGCAGTTATATACAATTTAAAAAAAATGTTATATTTTATTTGTAATTATTACTAAGGTATTTTAAAATGGATATGCTATTGCTACTAATAATATTTAAAATTTTGAGATTTTATCAGATATAAAAAAGATATTGGAATTGGAGGTTCCTCAATGTTAAATACTTTCGGAGTTTTGCATTGAAATTGTGAATAAGAAGCTTCGTTCAATTGGTAATAATGCTCTAGTACAGTACTGACATAATGTCATTTGGCATTTATAATGCATTATATAGAGTAGACCCGTGGGTAAATAAGTCCACCGTCAATATTTCAAAAATCAGTAAAATTATTTTTTTTTTATTAACAATATTTGAAAGTAGAAGAAAAAAGATGTATAATCAGCGATCACCTTAATTCTTACAACGTTGCTATCAACGGCAATGCCTGAAAATCCATAACATAAATATTTTCTTTCGTTATTAGTTTTTTGGTCGTGAGCACTGTTGCTTACTTTTCGAAACTTTTAACTTAAAAACTTTATATTTTTTAAATATGCGTTATTTTTTTGTTTTATAAAATGTATTGTTAATTTGAAGTTAGATTCAACAGTCTTTTTTTATATAACCTCTATAAAAACTTACGCCTGGGACCTGGGTGAGGAAAAAAAACAACTTAACCTTTACTCTGGCAAAGGTGTAAAAAATAAATATGAGTTAATTAAATTAAAAATATCAATTTTAGAGATAAATTAAATAAATACTTATTCCAACACTGCTGATAATATTTCTGACGAAATTCGAGATTAAGATTATTTAAAGTGTTATCTCTGTAAAAAATGTACTCACGAAATTTATATTTTGCTTGTTGAATAATGTAGCTATTATTTTGTAAAATCCCTTAAAAATTAAAATACGATAGAAAATGTCGATTTTATAGCCAAATATACCAGATGAAAGCAAGCGTTTTGATTCTTGGAATCATATCGGTTCAATAGCATTTGGAATCTTATCAGTTTGCTATATTTCCCAGAGAAGTTTTCTGTAATCTTCTGCCTAATGTATATATTAATTTAGATTTTCATACCAGTGTTTATATAAATTTAAATCAGTGTCACTTCTTCTTGAAGAAGTAACTTTCTCTACTCAAACTACAAAAAAAGAGTTTTAAGCCCTAGAAGCCACCAATAAAAGAACAAAAACATTATTATATCAGGCTATAAAAACAATTAAGCCTAGGAAATTAAGCGGGAAATTATGGAAAAAAGACACGTCTAAGCAACAAATCGATGGATGTCTCAGTTTTTTTAAATAATATTTTATTAAATAAAAAACTAATTAGAATTTTTAAAATTATTTATTTAAAATTGCCCGGAATAGAAAATACAGTGGGTTTAGCTTAATTGTTTTTAAAACTAAAATTGATATTAACAAGCATGTTTCAACACGTATCTAATATTTTTTTATTTTTTTATATCAAAACATGTTTTTTATTTGAAAATGTATTATTTTTATTCATTCGAAAACTTTCCTTTCACTATTATAAAAATATTTTTATTCTTATATGTGAAAATGATGCATGAATAACGAATAATTATTTTCAAAGTCATTTAATCCAGATAAACTATTATTTTTTTGTTCTACTAATTAAAATAATTTCGTTTACTATTTATAAAATTGAACAATAAATAAATTCAGTCAAATACTGCTTCAAATCGCACTAAATTTACGGATAAATTGTTGTTATTACAGAATATTTGAGCAAAAATTCGAAAACCGGTTTTCTGAGTTATCGGTTTTTGTATAAACCCTAATCACAGCTCAATAGTTAAATCAAAAATACTATTTTCGGTAAATATTGCCTTCGAACATGAGATACCAAAAATGATTTAAAATGGAAATTTTCTAATTTATCAACTAGATTGCTGCATGGAAGTAACACGAATTTATCTTACATTTAGAAAAGGGGTATACGTACGGAAATCGCCTCACGCGTGAATGTATTTTTTATCAGACGCAAAAATTTCGAAACGATGCACGTTATCAAGACACATGTAAATATCAAAATAATTACCTTGACCCGCCACAATCTGACGCCGTCTTCGTAGACGCCAATCGTCCCATTGGATAATCCGTAAGCAAGTCTGGTCGCGTTCGCTAATTTCGCTAATAGTGTCACAGGTGCAGTTTCGTACCACTCGGTGAGGAGGGTGCCATCCGCTTTGTACGACCGAATGAAACAATCATCGCTCCCAGTTATTAGCTGAAATTTGAATCATTTCAAAATTGATTACACAAGATCACAGAATGAAAAAGGTTGTCTCTAATAGTAAGGTGACCATATTTTTTTAAGTAAAACTAGTGGTGCATGACATCGTACCAAACTCTAATTTTTTTAAATCTTTAAACATTTTTCAAAATTTTGAAAAAAATAGGTTTTTGAAAATTTTTGTAAATATTAGACTTTTTTAAAAAATTTGATTTTTTCTTTATTTAGAAGAGTCTAACGTGTAAATATTGATATGAAACCCATATAAATGTACACAAAATTTGTACTTATTATCATAATCTCTATAAAATATCTGAATATATGATGTGCATATGTCAAATGATCATTTCTGATCGTTTTACTTTTTTATTGGATCTCTGGAAACCCTGGACCTGCCTGTTGTTCATTTCATCAATAAAAATGTTTTTTGAATTATTCAAATCGGACGCTCCATTCTCTCAAAAAATGAAATAAAACCATACCATCTTTGGCACTTTTTGCCCCGTATCTTCGAAATGGTTAGACCTGCTTTAGGGAAAAACGTCTCCTTATCGATAGATATCGAAGAAAAATTATATCTGCACATACATACACACACATACATCCATTTCTTCTAGACTTGCCTTTACCAAAAACCAATTAACACATCTTCCTTATCAATAGGAATCGACGAAAAATTATATCTGCACATACATACACACACATACGTCCATTTTTTCTAAGGTATGCCAAAATGTTCAGAAACCTCTGAAACGTAGACATAAAAAAAATTGCATTTTCGATTTTTTGCGATTACTATAACTTACCTTACGGGTAAATTGTGTTTTTGTTTTGCTTTTGAGCCTTGTATAATTTTCTTATTTAGTTTTCTTTATAATAGCACTTGTTTGTTTTCATAATTTCTGTTAAATTACCTATTAATTTTCGAAAAAAACGGGACAGTCTGGTACAAAAGAAATAGATCCTGGACAAATATTGCTTTTAAAAAAACCCGGGACGTATGGTCCCGGATATTTAACACGAATATAAAGTCAGAACTGAGGGACAAATGGAAAAAAAATTAAAAAGGGCCGAAATCTTCGATCTAATTTCCGTGATTTGCATTTAACTCATTGTCAAAGTGATAAATCTTGAAGCAAAAAGCGGAGCACTCGATGTCGTCTATTGACGGCATTCGAACATACAGATCGTCACGTGGACGCCTATAGGCGACGCTCGTAGAGAAAGGGATAAGACATTTTATTCTTAAAAGTTTCGTTTGTAAAACGCATATTTATTCAAATTAATTTTAGTGGTAATTAAATTATAAGTCACATATTAAAACATTTGAAGATTTCTAGGTGGTTACTTACTTCGTTTAATCCGTCATCATCCGTATCCAATAATTCAAGAGCCTTTACATTTCCTCCAGGAAGAAACCAAAAATGCTCCTTGCCTGTTGCATCAAAACCTCTAACTGCATAAGCACCTCCAACTATTGCCAAGGGAGTATTTATACTCCCCAAGTATCCAATTATGATTGAAGAAGATCCTTCGGGAATCTCTTGGAAAAAGACGTCGGTATTATTCTCAACGTGGTAGGCTAAGGAACAATAATAGTTTAATATTTATTCGTAACTAATAGTTGAACAGAAAAATTATTGCAGTTTTAAAAATACATAAGCAATAAATCCTTATTTACATTAACGATAACTAATTTCTGTTAACTAACCGTTTTTTCGTGATAAAGAGTTATATTTGTAATTTTGCATTTAATTCAAAGTTCGTGCTGGGAAGTTGGAAATTGGTATACTAACCGGACTTTTTTAAAAAAAAACAGTGTAAATTTATAAATAAAAAAAATACCGATTTTGTATGGAAACTAGCCCATATCATTTTCAAACCTTTAAAATATTATCAGTTTAATACAAAGTTTATTATACATACAAATACATAATACAAAGTGAATATGTATAGATTAAGCCATTTCTTTGTAGTTAATAATCAATTTTGATTTTAGATTTCTACAAATCTTTCTTGACCATGAATCATTTGGAAACGTGAATTGATAGTGTTTTTTTGTCAATCAAAATTTTATAATACAAAATTGTTGAGGATAATGCAAAATAAAAAATTAAACCTAAATTAAACAACTAGTGGTGTATGGCATCGTGTCTTAGGCAAATCGCTGGAACTTAGGCAAATCGCTGGAACCGTAACGAAATGTTCAATGAATATGAAATGTTTTCAAAATAAATTATTATAAATACTGTAACATTTGTCTAATACTTATTTATAAGAATTATATAAACTGAATTACAAAGTTAAAGTTATTTATTTAAAGTATATAAGTGAGCTTTAAAACTTTAACCAGAATTAAAATTGAAATCTGAATTATTTTCAATATACAAAAAAATGTCAAAAAAATTTTTGTTCCAGAAACAATTGTTTTGTCAACACAAGCAAAAAGATTTTTGAATCATTCAATTCGGATGCTTATTTCTCTTAAAAACTGCCAATTTTGTATATTTAACTCTGTATCTACGAAATGGCTGGGCCTGCCTTTGCCGAAAACTAATAACCATTTCTCCCAATCATTACTAATTGAATGTTTTTTAGATTATTCAAATCGGATGCTCCGTTCTCTGAAAATTTTGATTTCCATTTTCTGCACTCTTTGCTTTCTATCTCCGTGATGGCTGGACCTGCATTTGCCAAAAACTAATCAGTACATCTCCCTATCAATAGGAATCGAATGTTTTTTGAACCATTCAAATAGGTTGATCCGTGCGCACGAAAACGTGAACGAAAAAATGCGGACGCACAAAACACACACACACATCCATTTTTTCTGAGGTATGCCAAAATGTTCAGAAACCTTCAAAACGTGAAGAAATGCAAAAATTTTCATTTTCGATTTTCGAATATTAAAAAAATCTACCATATATTAATTTAATTGTTGTTTCTTCCTGTCCATTCATGATATTGCAGAAATGGATTAATAATGTTTTGTTGAACAACTCCCATGCTCAAACTGTATTATGTTCTACATTCTATCGAAGTATATCAATTTTTGAAAATTATTTTCATAATTCGCGATTTGCTTGATATCAACTTGCAAATATTCACTTGATATTAATTTTTATTGATCCACTCAATAATTCTTGATATTGGAAAGTACCTGTGTTATTGGGAAATATGCAACTTACGCCTAGTTTCGGCGTTTATTGGCTGCTAACCTAAAATATGAGTTGGCGATCCGATGACCAAGATGTCTTTGTCGTCGTTTTCAATGAGCTTGCCCGCCACCAATGCCGTCACTGGCTGATTCAACGCCAGCGTGGCCACTTCCGCATTCGTCTCAGACCAAGTTATTCGTCCAGTCGGAAGGCCGGTTCTTCTATGAGGACTGTGAATAAGCACCTGAAAATATATATAAATATATATATATATATATATATATATATATAAATTTTAATGTGTAACAATTTTTGTGATTGCTAAATTTTATGTTTATCTTGATTTATGTAAAAAAAAACACACTTGGGGTTAGTTGCAACAACACCTTGACGCTAGTTGCAACATATAAGAATTATATTACAGATTCAAGTAAAGAATATCGAATGAAATATATATGTACATAGTTATAAGATGTGGCCCACATATATAGTGTCTCCTGTGACACAATTTACGTCTGTGTCACAGAAGACACTATATATTTTATTATGAAATTAATTGTAGTTTACGTTGATTTATGATAAAAATGTATATTACATTAGACATATATTTTATTTGTATTGATTATAGTTGGTGTTGATATGAAAAAAATTACTATTAATAGTCTTTGCAAGTGCCAACTTAATCTGAAGCTGATTTTAATTAAATTTATTTTCAACATTTAAAGTTTCTAGATTTTGATATATTATTACCGCGCTTCTCATTAATTCAGTAATATTTTAACTTCCCGTAGGGCAAGTTATAGTAATCGCAAAAAAATCGAAAATGAAAATTTTATATATCTTTACGTTTCAGAGATTTCTGAACATTTTGGCATACCTTAGAAAAAATGGATGTATGTGTGTGTATGTATGTATGTGTGTGTATGCGTGTGTGTGTGCGCGCGTGTGTGTGTGTGTGCGGATACAAATTTTCGTCGACGATTTCAGGAACGCCGATCAACCGATTTGAATAATTCAAAAAACATTCGATTTGTATTGATAAGGAGACGTGCTGATTAATTTTTGCCGAAGGCAGGTCTCGCCGTTCTGAAGATACGGGGCAAAAAGTGCCAAATATGGTAACTCGGTTTTTAAGAGAACGGAGCATCCGATTTCAATAATTCAAAAAACATTTTACTTTTACTGACAAGATAAAGAATTGATCATATTTTCATAAAGGCAGGTTTAGCGGTTTCGGAGATCTAGTGAAAAAAGTAAAAAAAAAAATGCCATTTGACGGTCAAAAATGATCGTTAGACATATGCACATCAAATTATCAGATATTTTATAGATTTTAACAATAAGTATAAATTTTGTTTACATTCCTATGGGTTCCGTACCAAAAATTATCCGTTTAGAAGGTGGCGTGCACATACGCGCTTTATATTTCGTCTCTGTGCAGTTAAAGCAGTGCGATTGCTTTGAAAAAAAGTTCAAATTTTTTGTCAAATTTATAGTTTCTCAAAATCTATTTTTTTCGAAGTAAATTTTTTCAAACAATGTTAATCTTTTAAAAAATATATAATTTTTGGTACGGGAAGTTCCAGCAATTTGCCTTAAGGTACGATGCCATGCATGTTACTAGTTTTGATTTATGAAGCAAAACCCATTATTCATTTTTAAATTATATTGATATGTGGCATTTCCAGGGAATTGACGGAGATTGGAAATTTAACAGCTTTGCCATAAATTTGTATGGTACCTAGTTCCCTGTCAAAAACTATTGCATCTTCAGTTTTTAATATTCAATCTCTCTTTTTTTAAAAAAAATGCTCTTTCTGCAAACCATTTATCAACTATGTACTGTTTGTGCGCATCGGGAACTATTTGTACAATGAGATAATGGTTTTTTTTTTCAAATAAAATTCATGCTTCATATATAATAAGATCAGGAAATATAATTTAAATTTCAGTAAATAACTATCACTGACTAGCTATTATAAAATAGAGATTTGTGAAAAGAGGTTGAACATTTAGAGTTGTATGCATTTTTTAATTCGGCATTATGAAAATTAAAATTCAAAAAACAATTGATTCCAAAATTTAAAAAAAAAGTTAGGTGTGGTAGTTTTTCAAAGTAAAGAAAGTTCCGTGTATTTTTAATTTCAAATTATTTTTTTTTTTTTTTTTTTATTTTATTAATTTATTCAACGCCCAAGGCAATAATACATATAATTACATTTTAAAGTGTACAAATTATAAATTAAAGATAATATGTGAGAATTAAGAGAATTAGAGTATTAAGAGTTCATAGATAGCTTTGTATATATACATAACACTACATAAAATAAAGAAAATTGACCCGAAAAATTAAAGAAAGTATAAGAATTGGACACCCTTGATAAGAGTAAATACTAAAGCAAATAAAGATTTAAGGTTTTTCTTGAAGCTTAAAAATCCTAATTATATTATGTCAAAAATATTCAATACTAACGCGGGTTAAAAAATTATTGAATTATTAAAATAGTTATAAAAAAATAGAAGTTGGTGATAATAAAGTAAACATTTTGGGGGTTGTATGTATTTTTAATGCCACGTTAAAAAAAATAAAAACAAAGAAAAATGACAAAAAAAAATTAAAAGAAGAAAGTGGTAGATTGCCCTTAACATTTAGGGGGACGAAAAATGAATGTCGTCCAATTCTCTGACCTACCCAATATGCACACAAAATTTCATGAGAATTTCGCGACACGAGAATTTTATATATAAGATTATATACATATATCATATAATTAGAAGTTTTCATCATATACGAGGTCTGTTCAAAAAAGTACCCGGAATTTTCGTTTTTTTTTTTTCAAAAAATATTTATTTATTCGTCTACATTAATGTGGTCCCCTTCAAAGTAGTCCCCCCCAGATATAATACACTTATGCCAGCGTTTTTTCCAAATTTTCGAAGCACCCTTGATATTCACTTTTGATATGTCCTTGAGCACTCTCAGCGATTTCTTCAATCGAGGAAACCGCCGTCCTTTCATGGGTCTCTTCAACTTGGGAATAGGAAAAAGTCACACGGAGCCATATCTGGTAATTTTTGCACTTTGCAACACTTTATTTCATTTTTTTTACGCAAAATTTAATACAAATTCTTTGACTTTTCAATTCTTCCATTGTAAAAAATCGCCGAGCTCAGAAAAACACGTCGAACTTAGCGACTACCACAGACAAAGTAAACAGTGAATATAGCTGAAAATTTCATCATACTTTAGGGGCATGTATACCAACACAATAAAAAAAAAATTTTGACAATCAGACACTCCAGACCCGCGAAATTTAATTATTAGTATTCCGGGTACTTTTTGAACACACCTCGTAATTAGAAATCGAAGTTCAAGCTATATTTACCTTACTTACAAATTTACATAAAAAGTGTATATTTTTGCTCTATATTTCAGATTTTATAGAATTTTTGTTGCATTTTAGGGAGTATGCTTATAATCAGATTTGTATTCATAGAAAAATTGTATTAGCTATGTGAATTTCAAATATATATATATTATATATATAATATATATGTGTGTATATTTAATAGACAAGTCCTGGATTTTTTCAATAAATTGATATGTTTCTTTTCCGAACAATAAATCCAATAAATAACAATTTGTATATTTATATATAATATTTTATACGCCTTAGTCTGACAATTAATAAAATCATTGTTAAGAATTCCAGTAATGGTAGAAACTCCATATTAAATAAATGCCTTACAAATAATATTTTAAATCTTTTAAATGAATAATTACCTTGTTATCTAGAAGGTGTTACCCATTCTAAACATTTATAGCTCAGTAATATGCGCAATCATTTTTATCAGTTAAAAAAAGCGTGCTGATGATTTAGATTATGAACATTTCTAATTCTTTAATGCATATGTAAAAAAGCAAATACTCAAAAATACAAAAATTGATAACACATATTCTCAGTTTTTGGTAAAATGTGTTTATTCCGAGTGATAATGTTAATGGTTTTATATTATTTAAGATGTTAATTAAATTTAAGAGCATCTCGTGTTCGGGAGGTATGTGATTATTCAATCGACGGAGTGCTATGTTGATTTATTCATATTCCATTGATTACGTTTTCATAGATGTGTTACAATATATAAAGGCATTAATAATAAGGTATAGCGGGGCTCGAAGATCTGCGGGTACAAAAGTCCACTACCGATATCTCAAAAACAAGTAAAGTTAAAAAAAATTCATCAACAATATTTGAAAGTAAAGAGTAAAAATTTATAGCCATCACTTTCATTCAAACAACAGCAAAAGCAATTTTATAAGAAATAAGTTAGATAAGTTATTTCAACTATGCTTATGAATATTTCTGACTAATTACTATAACAAGGTAACAGCGTTATCTCTGTAAAAAATGTCCCCATAAAATTTGAATTTTGCATTGGTTAATGAACTATTATATCGTTAAATCCCTTTAAAATTAAAAACTAATGGTAACGTAATGAAATGTTCGAGGAATATGAAATAAATAGATATTTCGATACTTATAAGAATTATATAAACTGAATTACAAAGTTAAAATTATTTACTTAAAGTATATAAGTAAGCTATAGAACTTTAGCCAGAATTAAATTTAAAATGTGAATTATTTTCGATATATAAAAAAAATTGCAACAAAAAGTTTTTTCCAAAAGCAATTATTTTGTTATAACAAGCAGAAATTTTTTTAAATCATTCAAATCGGATGCGTAGTTCTCTCAAAAACTGCCATATTTTGTACATTCACCTCTGTACCTTCGAAATGGCTGGACTTGCCTTTGCCAAAAGCTAATCAGCACATCTTCTTATCAATAGGAATGGAATGTTTTTTGAATTATTCAAATCGGTTGATTCTTGCGCCCGAAAACATGAACGAAACACGCACACACACATCCATTTTTCTGTGGTATGCCAAAGTGTTTAGAAATCTCTGAAGAGTGAAGATATGGAAAAATGATCATTTTCGATTTTCGGTCCTTTACTATAACGTACCCTACGGGAAGTTAATAAGATATTGGAAATGTTTGCGCCCCGCTTATGGGGTAAATGGACCAGGTGACAAACTTTTAAGAAATAGCGAATAAAAAACAATTTTTTTACAATGATGATTTATCTGGGAGTACAATATAATTGCTCAAAGTCAAATTGTGTTCTTGTGCGCCGCCCTGCTCTATATATTTAACATCTATCAAATTTTTCAAGCAGTAGTGACCTCGGTTTTTACTTGCATATATAGATATCAATATGCTTACGAGTGAAAATAGGCCTTGTCCGGCATTACAATATCAATAAAAAATTAATATCAATAAAAAAATAAAAAAGTAATCGCAATATCTTTGCATATTTAAGGTTTCTGAATATTTTGGCATGGTAAGGCATACCTTATAATTAAAAAAAATGGATGTATATGTTGGTGTGTGTGTGTGTGTGCATGTGCGGATACAAATTTTCGTCGACGATTTTGGGAACACTGATCAACCAATTTGAATAATTCAAAAAACATTCGATTCGTATTGATAAGAAGACGTGCTAATTAGTTTTTGGGAAGGCAGGTCCAGCGGTTATGGACTCTCAATAAAAATAACTTAAAAAAAATCATTTGGCGGTCAAAAATGTTTATTGGACATATGTGCATCAAATTATCAGATATTTTATAGAAATTTAATAATGTGTGCACATTTTTTGTATTTTTTTTTTTTGGGTTCCGCACGAAGATTTTTAATCACGGTTCGGGAAGTTCCAGCAATTAGCCTTAAGGCACGATGCCATGCACCCCACTAGTTTATTACAGAAATTGTAATAAGAAAATCACACATAGAGATAGGAAAACTGTTCGTGTTGCCGTCTATAAAACCGACGTAGTTAATTAAGTCAAATCATCACAATAGCTTATAGGATCTTCTAATTCTGCTGTTCAAATATTATATAGAAAAATATCTATTGAATATCTAAAATAATTTGCAATTGCATTGGTACCTTGTCCGCTATTGTGGCTGCAGTCAAACAAGCATTTTTACCGTCGTATTTTCCGATAGTAATACGACCTGGTAACATCTTGTGGTTAATCAAAAAATTAAATGTTGGCTTCATTTTGGTATTAATAAAAATTTTCTACTGATTTCAAAATCGTTTCACCAAATTAGTCTGTTTACATGTATAGCATTGTTGTCAAAACAACTGTTGCTATGACTCCGTAATCGTAAACATCGAAAGGCAAAAGGCATTTTTGTTTATTTGTTGCTGTAAATGTTATTCACTATGTTGAATAAAACAATATTAATAACCAATTTTTTTACTATAATAAATCTGCAAATACATTATTATGTTTTATTGTGCGCGATCTATAATTCTATATTTATGTTTGGCTAACAAAAATGTAACCCGTTAAAATAACCCTACGTTATACGTATGGTATTGAAACGTTGCATATTTGAAATTCGCGGTTAAACAATATTTAATTGAATACTAAATAAAAATATTGAAGAGTAGGGCAAGTGTCAAATGTCACGTTTCAAATGTTTAGCGTACGTCAAAATTGCCAAATCAGCAAGTGATCTTTACGAGACATGCCGAATCTATCTTTTGTTTATATTGTTATATTATTCATTTATTTAATACTCTTGACTTATTAAAATTGAACTAATCACAAAATAATGACTGTTAGAAAACGGTAAACATTAATCTATATCGTCAACATATTGAGGTTAACAAAACATATCAGTTCATAATGAAACAAAGTAATTAACCATTTTATTTAAAACTCATACTTCAATAAAATATTTTATTAAATAATTTTGTATTGTAGAAAAATACTCAGGCGTTGAAATATGCTAGTTTAATTACTTTAACTCTCCAAAATGCAATTTTGGGACTCAGTATGCGCTATGCGAGAACTAGGGATGGAGACATGTTTTTATCATCGACAGGTAATGCGAATACATATATTCATAAGATTTTAAATAACTAATTTGTGTACTTTTGCAGCTGTTGTCATGTCAGAGGTAATGAAGCTCATTATATGTTTGTGTATTTTGTATTCAGAAGAAA